GTGTAGATGAGGCGCTTAGGGACATGGTTTAGTGGACACAGTGGTGTTGGGTTGACGGTTGGACTCGATGATCTTAGAGGTCTCTTCCAACCTTAATGATTCTATGATTCTATGATCATGCACAGATGCTGCAATCTTACCTCCAGGTATGCAGTGTGTGTGGTCTGAGTATTTCTCTGATACCCAGAGAAATGAGAAAACTTCAGGTTCTTGGTTTAAGTAAGATAGAATGAGTATTTGATGGTGCGTGAAGAGAGCACCTCATTTGCCAGAGCAATGAAAGCAGCACAGTATTTCCAGATTTAGAACTTACTAGATTCTTTTGATAATGCTTCAATAAATAAGATGATTGCAGTCAAAGGACTATTAATGATTGTTCTCAAATGTGGCCCAGGTCTGTGGGTGGAGTGTCAGCAAGGAGCAGTTCTCTGACAAGCAAACAAGCTGACAGTGTTTAGAACTCCCTTAGAGACACGGGTTCTTTGTTTTGTTTCTCACTCCACAACATGACAAAGAGGAAGAATTTAGGTGGAGCTCATGTAAACTAGGGAAAACATACCATGATCTTCCTTCAGTTTGCATCCTGGGAACATGAAGAACAGGGTCGTACAGACGATGAAGAGCATGCTCCTTCTCCTCATTTTGCTGGGAGTAGTATCTGGTAAGAACATGATTTCATTACACTGCTAAAATCAGAACACTGTTGGCTGTTATACTTTCTCTTGGGAGCTTTATAATACATATTTAGGGATCAGACACAGATGGAAAAAATCAAGTAACAATTATTTTCCTACTGAAATAGATTGAGCTCTGTGGTTACAGCAGTATAATGAAGAAGAGAATATGACTCCTTGCTAAGACGCTTTGCTGGATGAGGCACTTCGTGTGCAATAGCCACTGCTCAGTGTGACAGTGTTGGAGTGGGAAAGGAGGTCAGCTCTCCAAGAAATAATATCTAGTATTAATACTCCAGTATTCTGCTTTCAAATATTCATAACATTTCTCTTCGATGAAGTAAAACAAACAACCAAACAGGACCAAACAGGAAAACACTTGTGGAGAATATTAGTAGGATAATTTCACTATCTTTGCCCAGTGTAAAAACGTGGGAGATTTGCCAATATGAATATGTGCGCGTTAGCAACTTAAAGTAGATCTTCAAACTGCAGTCTGTTTGGCTCATGGAGCACTTGGTGTTGCTTGTAGTAAACTAGCTGCTCAGGTGGGGTCACTTTGCACTCAAGGAACTGAAAGAGTTCTGCCAACCCTCAGGAACCTGTCAGTATTTGGTGGTTTTCCTGATGTCCCCGAAACTGTGGCCAGGACACTGCATGTGAATCTCAGCTTTCCTTGAAAAATAGTGTTTTTCTAACCTGCATGGTTGTGGAGAGAGAAAAGCTTGAAGGTGTGACTGAAGCACGCTGTAAAGACTAACAAATCACAGACAAGTAAGACTTAAATATACATATACTTCTCAAAGCCAGTCTCATGATTGCTTTGTCTTGGACTCGGCATTTGTCAATGTTTGGGGTTGGTAATTCTGATAAATAATGTACTAAATTGCTTCAGGCATGTTTTGCTCTCCAAAGTAAGGAGGTAAGCAAGGACTTGTGAATATGTAAGGAGGGCTTTTGTAAAATCAATTGGAAGAAGAAGAAGCCATTTAGATGCAGTACTGAAAATTTCAGTTAAAAATAAAGAGCAAGAAGTAAGAACTTGTGATTTAGAAAGACAAATCCTGAATAAACAGTCAATGAAATCTTTCAAGATAATATAAAAATAGCAACTCCTTTTTTTCTACATTTCTAAATGTTATGAATGATTTCATTGATTTTATGAATGGTTTCTATTAATGAACAGTGGCTTGCTGAGGGAACTGGATTCGTCAGGTACTGTCCACAGGAGATTATATTCGAAGTTCAGCTCCACTTATGGAAATGTATCCCCAGAAGCCCCTCTCAGCCCAGTCTCATTTGCATGGGCAATTTTTGTTGATGATGTTTACCAGAATCTATAAGAACATTGATAAAAACTCAGTCCTTCACTGGGTCCTGCTTCCACTGACATAAATCAGTAACAGCTCAACTGAACAGCTCAGCTGAACTCAGTCCTACTGGAGTGTCAGTGTGACCTGTTCAGATTAACTCTTACAGGCAGTTCCCACCTCACCAGTCTCCCACATCCCAGCCTGTACCTCACCCACCTGCAGAGCATCTCCAAGGCTTTTTTTTCCATCAATATCAGAGTAATCCCAGCCAGATCAACGATCCATGGACCTGCTGTATCTGGAGTGTGGGAGCATGGGAACCTCCATGCAGCTGTGGAGAGGCTCCAGGAAAGTGCCTCAGCTCTACCTCTTACCAGTGAGGTCCTGTGCTCAGAAGACGTCTTCCCAGAGACAAAATCTCCCACCATAGCCTAGTATGGCTGGTTACGTGAAAAACACCCCTGCGCTCCCTCCTTCTCTTCCCCACAATGCAGTGAGTGTTGCAGGCTGCAAGAGGAAGAACTGGAGGTGTCTGATGGAGTCATACTGCTCTAAGAAGTGCTCCAGGAAACACTGCAAGGACAAGTGCCTCCTGGGGTGTGATGCGGGAAGAGGGGAGACCATAGGACTCCATGCTTTGTCTTGTGGACTCATCTACTGCTATTAGTTTTGCTTCTTATGTAGCAAAGGCACTGGGATCCTAAGTCTTCTCTGATCCTATAGGGAACTGTTATTTGAGAGGCCAGTAATAGGAGCAATGTCTATCACACAAAGGCTATATGTGAGCTATCTCCAAAATGCTCCAAAATTTTTCTAGGGATGTAGAGAAACAAGATTTTTTTGATAGTTTGGGGAAAAAGTCACTAAGGCTTCTTCTAATGTCATTGGAAAGTATTGGAGCTGAAGTCTCCCTCTCCAGATTAGAAAGCCTGCTGCAGTTGGAAGTGCATGGAGTGCCTCTTTGGTAGCTTACGTGGGCCATCCTTCCCCAGCCACATGAGAAGGGGCAAAGGGAGATGGTTCTGTCCCACACCACAGAGATGTTGCAAAGCAGCAGATTTCCCCTTGGCATTATGTTCCCAAGCTCCAGACTGAGCCTGAGCATCCAGCTGGAAACGTGCCACAGCCTTAATGGTCTCGGATGAGTTCCCAAAGCAGCTTTTTACCTTGCAGCTGCCCAGCAAAAATAAAGACTTCATGGAGCTTTTGCTACAGTAATTGCTGGTGTGTGAACAGCCTGGCCAGACCCTTCAGTGAGCAGTACCTGCCTCCGTCTTGGCATACAGTATGTTGGAAGTTTGACTGAACACAGCCAGCTTTCTTGGCAAGTGTTTTGGACAAGCCAGCGAAGCCCCCCCCAGGCAACATTCAGCCCCGCCATAGTCTCATGTTGAGGTACATTGCCAGGTTAGGGATGTCCTGATTTATGTTTTCTAGACAGTCTTCAAGAGATAAAGCACTACAGGCCATTGTTAAAATAACAAGAATCACAAGGTAAACAGCAGAGCAAACACAGGTTTTGTTCTGGGGAGTCCAGAGGTCTGACTGAGAAACAAGGACCTCATGCAAACCTGCTGGATGTCATAGTGCTCTGTGCTGCTTCCAGGCAGTTTTGAATGGTAGGGTGCTTTTGTGGGCCTGCATCTCCTCCAAGGAATGGAGGTTGCTCTTCCATGCTCAAAGCAGAAGACACAACAGCACAACATCCCAAAGTTGTTGCTAACTCACACTACTGATGAGCCAGCCATGCACATAGCTGTGCTAGAAAGAATAAGAAGAGGGAAAAAGGAGGAAATGGGCGCTGCAGATGGCGTAATTCACGAAAAAGATGGCTTCTTTAACATCCAGCCCTGTGTGATACAAGGTGCTTTTTGAGGTGATTAGTGTACAGAGGCAGCAATTAGCACAGGGGGTGAAATGAAATAATAGAAACATATTCAGTTTCTTTGCTTCTATAAAAAGGCATATATGAAGGCAAACGATGCAGTAACAATACTACTTCAACATCAGCCACTCTAGATGTATAATATAGTACTGAATTAGAGAAAAGATTGATTCTTTTGCCATTAGCACTGGATTTACTACCGTGCAATGCCACCATTCATAAGCAAAAAGAGAATCAGGCCATTTTGTGTTCATTAATGGAAGTTCTTGGCACAGGCTGTGTGCTCCTGCTAGCCTAAGATTCCCAGAAGTAATTTTACATTCATTTTCATCTTGCAGGAAGAAGAAGCCAGTTGCTTAAGGGCTTACCTGCAACAACCACTGTTGAAGAAAATGCAGCAGCTGGTGTTTCAGTTTATACCTTTAATGTAACTGTTTCTCCATTGTCTTCTGAAGGTGTTGCAATACCTACCATAGTAAATTCAAATCCACATACAAAGGCTTTTGATATTGAACCAAAAGGAGATCTTGAATACAGGGTGAGTTCTACGTTTAGCTTGAGCAATGTTCAGTCATGTAGGCTGATGTTTCCTGGATTACTGAGCACTGACAGCGCACAGTGACTCATCTTTTAATCAGAAAAGAGTTGCAAATGCAGACTGTGGTAGTATTTGGACATGCTGTAATAGATATGACAAATGAATAGCAATAGTGATTATAATTTTTAATTACATCTAGGCAAAACCCACCTATCACAATAATTCCATTTATTCTGTGATAGAAAAAATGTGATTTTTGGAAAATAAGAGGTGAAGAAGGACATCTAGAACCTGCTTCTGTTTTGAGGATTTGTCCATAGTTTTTCAACTGAATTTATATGAAGTCACTGTGAATTTAAAGTGGCTTAGTTAAACAACATGCAGCTTCTGTTTGGCCACTCTCACCTAGAACTAAAATTAATTTGACTCACTTCCAAAATAAAGTAAGCTGAGTCAGATCAAAGTCATATTTAATTCTGAACGAAGGCTGTGATACATGAGGAAGTTATCTTGAGGTAAGAAGTTATCTTGAGGTAAGAAGTTATCACACTTCCGCACATCTGCGATCTATTTCTATCTATTGCGTGCTCTTGTCCTATGGCAAATGCAAAGCATTTTCTATTACTTCAGGGTAATTTTCATTGCTGGATAAATTAGCAAGTATTAGCTCACGTTTGTCAATGGCAATGACTGTTCAGACGCATGATAACCTGTCATCCCATTGTAACTTGCTTGTATGTCTGAGCCTGAACAGTGACACTGAAGTGTCTTCAAAAGATGTGGATAGACACTGAGTAGAGACTCACAAAGTCAATTTGAATACATTTTTCTGGGTGTTTCCAAGGAAGTTCAGGTTTTCACAGAACTGATACAAGGGCTCTTTTCTTGTTCTCTTTGCTGATGTTTCTGGGAGAAAATTTGGGGAAAGTAAGACTGTGACCCCAGGCGGTTGCAGCTCATTGATCCAACCTGCCTGGGACAGCTGTTCGTGTTCCCATGTTCCCACCTCCCGGCAGATTACAAAGCTCAGTTGTGCCAGCTCTGCTGGTTCTTTAGCTGCTTCCCAGCCAGATCAGTGAAATGGTAAAAAAAACTCTCCAAAAAGCCCTCTTTCGCCTGTGAAGCATAGCATGTGGCTGCACAAACACCTGAACTGGCTCAGCTGAGGGGATGTAACAGGCAGATGGAAATGGATACGTCCCTTAAGCTGGCTTTGCTGACAGAGAATTAATGATGTGGGACTCCTTTCCTAGGCTGTATTTTGGCATTTTGAGTTAAAGCTATCCCTTCTGCTGCAAAACATAGCCCTTTTCTATACCTGCTTGTTCCTGTCCCATGCCATCTCTATATTATGCAACGTAAGCATTTTATGTTGCTGCTTGTTGAGTGGGACTGACAAATTAATTTGGAGGAAAAATAACCCCGCAAATAGATAAAAAGTCTCTCCTTGATTTTTTTCATGGCAGGGATGATGGAGAAATTCTTGTTCTAGCACAGTGCAGAGAGTGACACAAAGATGAAAATGAATGGCCAAGAAAGGTATAGGCTGGAGAGTGCTTCTTCCAAAGTGCCAGTTTATATCCATTTCATACCACAGCCCCATTACCAGAATGGCCTGTGAGAACCTGGTGTGTCTTCCTTGAGCTTTAGTTATTTTCAGGGTTTCCTAGCTTACTCAAGGGACCGAAACAAAGAGGTTGGGCCAGTGAATATCAGTCATGAGAAAATTATAAAGAAAGCTACATACAAATTCTGCAAACTAGCAGTTGAGTGCTAATTACAACTCATAAGGGAAGGATAAATACACGAGTGTCCTTAGTTCATTTATTTGATGAGCATTGCTACTTTTAATTATTTATGCTATGTGGTAGCAGATTGGTACAATACTTTGCAAAAGTAATGTGATCCAAAATGAGATACCTCAGCGCTACTTACTGCCATTAAATCTTTGCTAAGATATAGAAAAAGGAAGTATTTCATGTATGAATTATGGGGTTTGCAGATTAGCAAAGTACCTGTTAGCACAGGCTCTTCTTTATTTATGAAGCACATTTACTCCTGTTGCAGCAAGCCAAGGCAATATCACATTTCTTGATATGTTTTGAGATTTCTGAGAAAGTCACAGTTTCTGAGATCTGAGCCCTGCCCATTCCTCCTCACCTTACTTGTTTGAAGAATCCCATGGGCAGAAGATGTGTTGAATGCATGAAAACATACTGCTGCCTGAAACTACCTTGACGCTGTTAGTGATGCTCCCTCTGCATCCTGGGAGTGAAGGGGGCAGCAGTAAAACTCTTAGGTGGAACGAGGGGTAGACAGTTATGGGGTGACTCTAGACCCCCTTTCACAAAGTCTGCAGCTGCTTCTAGTGTGTACAGTGCTGCCTTTATCGGTAAGGATTGCTCCTACCTGGAGAAGAGGTGAACTGTGGCTCACAGCCTATGCCAGTGGCAAGCTGTTCTCAAAAGCAACCTACAAAGAGACCATCTAGATTCACATCTTCACTTGCAAAGTCTCTATAAAGGAGGGTGGAAGATGTATTTTTAGGTAGTCTGGCTGTAGTTACACCACCAATGAAAATATTTGGCTGTGAACTGGAGGGGTAGTCCCCAGAGCACATAATTTCTTCTTAGAATTGGACAGTTTCTCATTTTGAATTCATTGCATTTGTTTACTGTATTTAGATCTCCGGCAAACATACAATTTGGAGAGCAACCTTCCCTTGGTGTTACAAACTTTCGTAGAATGTTTTTTTCTGTGTCAGTATCACTTTTATGGGAAACTTCTATTTGCACAATATAGGAGAGAAGGAGACCATCCAGGACACAGTTGTTTTCTCCTACAGTATTGTAACAAAAAGATCCACAAGGTTCCAGAGAGCAGCTGTTTGACATACCAGAAGGCATAAAACATTTGTCCTTCTGTTCACTCTCCTCCAACTGTCTTTGTTAATTGGCTCTATTTTGGCTTCTGTCTTCTAATTGTGCTGACATCACTTTTGCATTTCTCCTCTAGCCACGGCATCTCATCTAAAATCAAGGATTTATTTCATCGTTCTCCTTCTGCATCCTCTCCAGGCTCCTCCACTCTGCAGTATTGTGAATACACTGACACACTCCTTGTCACACACACTTGTGATCCCCAATTCTTCTCCTTCTCCAGTTCCACAGCACCCCCACTACTGGTGTTCAAACTTCAGAGTTTTTTAGCAGCAAGTTTAACAGTCACCTTTTCCTTTCTTGTCCAAGAAAGGAAAGTTCTTGTTTCTTTATTAGTTTCAGCGGTGAATATCGTGGCTGTCTTGGTTTCAGCTGGGATGGAGTTAATTGTCCTAGTAGCTGGTACAGTGCTGTGTTTTGGATTTAGTATGAAAATAATGTGGTAACACACTGATGTTTTAGTTGTTTCTAAGCAGTGTTTATACTAAGTCAAGGACTTTTCAGCTTCCCATGCTCTGCCAGTGAGGAGGTGCACGAGAAGCTGGGAGGGAGTACAGCCAGGACAGCTGACCCAAACTGACCAAAGGGATATTCCATACCATATGATGTCATGCTCAGTATATAAGCTGGGAGGAGTTGGCTGGGGGGCAGCAATCGCTGGTCAGGGACTGACTGATCATCGGTCGGCGGGTGGTGAGCGGTTGCATCAATTTTTTTTCCTTTCCTTGGTTTTATTTTGTTTTTTTCTCTCTCTCTCATTGTTTTACTTTCCATTACAATTTATTTCCGATTCTCTCCCCCATCCCACTGGGGGGAGGGAGGGTGAGCAAGGGGCTGTGTGGTGCTTAGCTGCCAACTGGGTTTAAACCACAACAGTGGCATACAACTTTCAGCATCCTGCGGTTGCTCTGGACTCATCCTAAATCCAGAATGAATGTATTTAATGTTTTTTCATGGAATGTCAGTCTTGTGCTTGTACATCTTCTGTGTTAAGAGGTGATGTGCAGAGCTGGAAGTCCCCAAAGCAAACGTTTGCCTTAAGGCCTATGTTATTTTTTAATTAGTTCAACATTTTCACCAAACAGTTCTGATCCCTCTCTCATACAGTGTGCTCGTGCAGCTCCCCCCTTTCTTTGATTTCCTGCAAGTCTTCTCCCAGGCGCAGCTTATACAAGGCAGGGACTGGTACCTGCTAGACTATACAGTCTCCTGCCCCGCACTCCTTATTGCAAGTAAAAGGTCTTCCCCCTCATGCTCCTGACTCAGAAATAGTGAAGCTGTCCTTGCATCCTGCAGGGCTTCCTCCCAGTTTTCAGTCTCATCACACCTCGACTGCTCCTGGAGCTTGGTGTGGAAAGGTGAGGACTTGGCACAGACAAGTACCTGCAAGATGTAGTCCTGGCCTTGAAGGCAAAGCATTGCCTGTGAGGCAGGACAGCTCCTTCCAGGCTTTCTCCTCCTCAAACTGTCGCTCACACAAGAAGTCCTTGAGTTGCTCCATGAAGCCACAACATTTTGGTCTTTCCACTCTCTTTTTCTCACATTTCTGCCACTGACAAGAAATGTGCCAGCAAGCAGAATATGATCTAAAATATTCGCTGCTTACTGATGGAAAGTGTTCCTTCACTTGTATTCACTCGTATAGACTATAACTTATAACTCTTGCATCATGTGCTAATAATAATTTTTCCTTTTCAGGTTGTTACCACTGGAAACCCTGTCCTAGATTATGAAACTATGCCAAAGAGCTTTGATTTACAGATTTTTGTTGAAGACACAACTGGGAGAACTGATCTTAACATACTAACAGTCCAAGTAACAGATAAAAATGAACGTCCTGTATTTCAAGGAAATATGGCAATTCAAAGTAAGATAGTGGTGGTATTTAAAAAGAACAATACTTGAATAAATGACATCAGATTAAAAAAATCTATAGCTGCCTACAGTGCCTGTAGCTGAAGTGGTCTAAGCATTTTCCTTTAGGAAAACAAGGGAGAAATAGGACACTGTTTTTATCAGAGCTTTATTTTACACAAATATTTTGTATGCTTCATCTCTGGAAATGCCCTTTTAGTTTTCTTGAAGCTTTGACTAAAAATGATTTAACCATTTTAAGGCACCTGAAGAATTATAAGAAAAAGAAGGTTTTTATACCAATAAATGTATATGATTTTTTTGATGAGATGAATACCTACCTAGAGGTATGTATTAGAAACTTGAAGTTTGCTGGGGATATAACCACTGAGTATGGGTACATGTTTCAGTAGTTTGTTGAAAACTGGACTGATTTGGAGAAGCAAGATAAATTTAACTTAGTGTATATTGTGTATGTGCAAGAATTTCTGAGGGAAAACAATAAAAACATTGGTCTGTCACTGTTTTACACCTGCATATTGCATTTGCACCTGCACATGAGAGAGTAAGTGGAAAATCAGTTTGAAGAGTGAGGTCTCAAAGATTGTGATCTATGGTGGTGCAAATGGAAAGAGGTAAAGAGTTCTGTCTCCCGCGTGGGGTAGATGGCCTTAACCAGGTTTACTTTCAGACCACTGGCAAAGGTGCAACAGGGAGGAGTTTGCAGTAGCCTTAGGAATGAGGCTGGAGTGTCTGGACCCCGGCTGTCAGTGCAGGCTTTGCATGCCATGCAGTACCTAATACGAGTGACAACGCCATCAATAAGAAGGACAGGAAATAATTGTCTTACTCTCTGAGCAATCTTACTTTGTTTATTTACTCATGAGAGGAACCTGAAAAAATTGTACCAGGAGGTGACAGAGTATAGCAGTGTATTTATTATGTGTTCACACACAGACAGAACAGTTCAGGTAGTAAGTAAAAATATGCTCTTATTATTTCATGAGGTACTGAGATCCTGTTTGAAGTCTTGATATTCTAACAGCACTGTATGGAAGAGCATTCAATAATTCAATATTGAATTTTTTTTTCTACCCAAAAATATCAAACTGTGATTGTTTGTGGTAAGTATTCGGAGCTGGCTGCAGACCCCTTCCCAGTTCTGGACTAACAGCAGCGTTACGTAGGCTGTGACTCGCAGCCCTTGGAGTGGTCAGTGGTGCAGCGTGGCTGCAGCCTCGACTTCTGTCTGCTGCAGAGGGCAGGACTTGTCTGCCTGGACAGGTTCAGCCCAGGCCCACTCAAATCCAGCCTGCC